AAAAAATACAAAAGACCCCCCCCCCCCACAAATACTTTGTTCTCGTCACAAACATCTGCTTCACATGGTCAGAAAAACCTTATTAAAACAACCTGTATCAAAGTATAATATCTGAAAATTATAGAATGAAGTGAAGAAATATAAATTTTATTCCTAGATTTACTTTTTGGTCTATTATAATTCTGTTTTGTCTCACCAATTTAATTTAATTTGGGACAACACACTCATTATTTCAGGCCTGCAACACATTACAAGAGAGCTGAGATAGGATGAATTTTTGGTTAGCATGCGAGTAAAGAACCATATCTGACAAGAGAAGCCTGAGGTGATTGTTATAATAACTTGCAGGATTCACAAAAGCTCTCTCTATAAAGGAGTCTGACTGTATTTTCCTTTAAAACTGCATACCATCATTGACAGGTTATGCGCTTAGAAGAATCAGTTTTCCAAATATTTTTTTGATTTTCTCCAGTCTATAAAAAAAGCAATCCAGACTGTTCTCAGAAACAAGTCAAAAAGCCAGACTCTGATTACTTAGGGTTGATTCAGTGCCTCTGATAAAAGTACTTTGAGACGTTGGCGAAACATTCTGCTCATCACCCCGTTTTGTGTAGTAGTTAGTTCAGAGTGGTACCGGGTGGTAAATTTTCTATCATGCTTAGTGTTTTGCGTGCGTTAATAAAAGGGCTGGTGTCATCTAACAAAAACACATTCTTCATCAGGTAAAGACCCCTTGTGGTTTTCTTTCAACAATGGCTTTTTTCCCTACTCCGTTATAGAAGCCATATTTATGGAGTCAACGAATCAGCTCCTCCAGAGTTACCACTATACGCATCTATGATCAATGTTTGGCTTGGCCTGTCTACTTTAGGTGGACAACTATGTGTTGGTAGGTTTGTAGTTTTACCATACTCTTTCCATTTCGGGATGATGGTTTTAACATTGCTCTGTGAGATGTTCAGCATGGAATATTGTTCTGTAACCTAACCCTACTTTAAACTTCCCCACAAAATGTTTCCCTCAGCTGTCTGCTGTAATCCTTGGTCTTCATGATGTTTTTCAATCTTCGTACAAAGACCAGAGTCCCTCACAGAACAGCTGTGGATTACATACACATATGCGGGCTCCAATTTTAGGACTTCTGAAAGCAACTGGGTGCAATGGATTTTATTTAGGGAAAACAGAGGAAAGGGGACTGAGCAGATAAACTACACTTTTCAGCACACCAGACTTTTCATTTTAGCTCCATTTCATAATTATGCATTACTACACTTCACACAAGAGCTCAAAAATACATAGACGTTTGTGGTTGTAACATGTTGAAGAGTTCAAGGAGCACACATAATTTAACAAGGCACTTTATCTGACCTTCATCCGCCAAGCCACTGTTAACCTTTAAGAAGCCCATCCTTTGTTCGCTACCCCCACCCCTCATAAATGCCACAGAATGTAATGGGGGCTTGCTAACTACCTATTGGGTTAGTTTGCTGTTTTACAAGTTAGTCATCCTAATAAAGGAGCTTTCTAAAAAGCCAACAGATGTTTTCTCGTTAATGTGCGACTCAACAAGATTGGCCACGGTGTAGAATGACCTGTGTAAACAAACATGCAATCACTACCGTGGATAAAGCAACCCTCAAGGAGATTTCAGAAACAAGCCATGCCGCCATTCCCACCTGAGTGGTGCCTTGTGAACGTTTGGCTGCTGCCCATGGCCCGTCTATGGCAACCAGCCACGAGCTTGGAAAAAAAAAAAAAGCAGAAAGAACGCACGCTCACAAAAGCATTACAATGCATGCTGGGTTTCCATGGCAAAATGAAAGCAAAGGAACACAGGAAAAAAAAAGTGAGATGTCGACCAGTAAAAGCCATTAAAAGCTGGGTGGAGGGCATATCTGTTCACACTGGCAAACAAGAACAAAGTACAGTCTTTCATGATCAGAAACACACATGATAAACTGTCCCTGCTGTGCAGTGTTATTTAAACAGAATCTTGAAGGGTGGGGGGCTTTTTTTTTTTTTTTAGGGCTGGTGGGGGCAGGGCAGGATCAGGAAGAGTGGTGTTTTGAGTGTCCCTTTGCCTTTTATAGCTACCCACCTCAGTGAGCAGCAAGGGAGAGAAAAGGAGATCTGGGAACTGACATAATGAAGCAGGGAGTGGAGGGGGGGAGTCCATAAAAACACACCGAGACCTTGTTGAGGGAGCAGAAGTTGTTTTGTTAGCTGAACAATAATTAGCTCCACAGACATGTACATGGATTTTCTACGTTTGGGGTTGATTCAAGAGGAGAGCACCTGGTGGGTTCCTGCTTCTTTTCAGAACCAAATGCATCATTTTGCAGACTGCAAATCAATACAAGAGGCTGTCATGTAAAATACACCAAGTCTGAGTGGATAGTGAGTGAGAACAAGTGAGAAGGCGATTCAACTGTTTTCCTCTGTGCAATCAGGACTGAGAGAGGACAAGCAAGGGGGAGTGTGCACAAGTTTGCAGGTCTGAGAGTGTGAGAAAGCTTTGGAGAGACAGAGGGAGACAGAGGAGAGAGCTTCAGCCTGGCTTTTCTCTGCTGCGTCTGGAGAGAGAGGCGTGTCCACGGACCAGTATAAAGTCCAAAGAGAGCAGCTCGCATTGAGACATTCTCAGAAGACGGTCCTTCGTGTTGCACACTGACCAGTGGAGGAAACTGTGGCGATTCCGTTTTTGATGACCAGCTTTGCATTTGGACACTTGTTGACTAGGTATTTTTTGGCGTTTCCTCAAAAGGTGGATGACACTCACCTGAAGAAATCACTTGTATATCTGTCAATCTCAACAAAAAATAATTTTTTTAATCACCAGAACATTCTCTAGCTGATAAAAGACAGGTTCCAGTTTCTGCACTGTGAAATTGAACCAGAGGAACAGAGCGGTAATACAGTCGAGGCATTGTGTTCTTGCAGTCGAAACACTAACCGGCTGACATATCAAAAGATTCCTGGACAAAGTGTTCCTTTGAAACCTTCTTTGTCTGTCTAAAGTCTGCTGTTAGAAAGGAAAGTCATCAAAAAGCAAGAGAAGGGAGGGGTGAACCTGAGAGGATCCTTGACAAAGGGCAAAGGACTACGTGCAGGTGTCTGAGCTGTCATGGTGCGAGGACGTGGCGTGGCTTCAACCTGCTGGGGCCTGTGGACATTCGGTGTACTGTCACTGGCGGCACTGTGCTTATCGGACCAGGCCATCCGCTGTCCAGTGTGCTCCGAAGAGAGGCTGGCCAGCTGCCGTCTGCCCGAGGGTTGCGAAGAAACGGTGCGCGAGCCTGGCTGCGGTTGCTGCCCCACCTGTGCTCTTCCTAAAGGGGCACACTGTGGTGTGTACTCGCCCCGATGTGGCACTGGCCTCCGATGCTACCCACCACGGGGTGTGGAGAGGCCGCTGCACTCCCTGATGCATGGCCAGGGCATCTGTACAGACGAGAGGGAAGTGGAGGAGAACTCAGGTAAGAGCAAAAAGATTTGAGTATGCATCCTTTCTGCCTCTGCCAGGCAGGCTCGCGACAGGAAAGATTTCCAGGAAATGTCCAATTACAATCCTTCAGTCCCAGTTGACCAGGTCAAATTCCTGCTTCTTTGCTCACTTGGCCTTACCTGACCTGGGGAGAGGTTGTGACAAGGTCCTGCGTGTTCACCCTAATCTCAGCTAAGCCGTGAAGCAGAGCATGCTTCCTGTCAGCCAAGCTCACACAGTCCCTCTGCTGTCTCCTGGTTGCTCGCTGTGAAAGGGGCCCTGCTGTGCAGCGCAGGCTTAAGACATGCGAGCGTCTTGGTGTTGGCTGGGGCAGAAGACGTGTGCTGTACCTGTTTCAATGAAAGAGTGGATTAAAGAGATCCTGCAGGGAGCTGTCAGGCATAGGCAGGGATGTACACCATAGCTGCGGTGTAAATGTAAGTCCATGTGTGTGCCTTTGTAATGGGAGGAGGTAATAAAAGCTGCTGTATGAAATGTCTGTAATGGAGTGAGGCCAGTCTGGGGCTATTAGCGCTCTCTGCAATCAGTAATTCACTTGGTGCTCTTTCATGGATATCCCCCTTCCTCCTGTTCCTCCTCCTGCTGCTGCAGATTTCAAAGAATTCTTCTCCTGATCTCTCTATCAAGCTCTTCTGGTATTTGGGGTCTCTTTTTCTCTCCCCCGACTTCTCTTTGTTATAGTATTCTTCTGAAAATGGAAAAAAAAAGTCTCCATCTAGTTTTACACAGTTGAAGGAATAATTATTGATGTTTTATAAGCTGAACTTTTTTTTGGAGAGGACATGTACTATTGGTGCCTTTAAAGAGAAATCCGATCGTTCTAATGTTTTTGAAGATATGTGAGCTGTTGCATTTCTTATACTGCAATTGCTCCTGCTGAACTCAAGCTCCCAGATCATTACTGGCCTCTGAGAACACCAGAGAAGTAGATGAGGCTCAGCCAATAGAAAGCTCCCAGGGGGTGCATCCTAACTGCAGCATCTGCTCCCCCTGACCCGATCCACCCCGCCTCCTGTGTGCCCCGACGAGCCTTCGAGCGCATCGCCCACTGCCTCCAGCTCCTTGATGAGGATGAGCTCATCGGCACCCTGGCTGCCAGAGCTGAAATTAGAGCCTTCTGCTCTCTGTGCATGACCGGCATAGGTTAGCATGACTACACGAAGTCAGAAAAAAGAAAGGAGCTGATTTTTTGGAGTTTGATAAAAAAAATTCAAAAAGGACAACAAAAAACAAGCAGCTGAATGCATTTGTCTCAGCTTTCATCAGTCCACACCCGAATGTTACTGCTGCCCTTTGATGTTGCGCTGACCATTAAGCTGTCCTGAATGTAGGTTGCAACAAACCAATGAGGAGTCATGTCTGTCTTTTTTGTTGTTGTTGTTTTCTTTTGTTCTGGGAATGAAAGCTTTTGGAAACTTTTGTGTTTTGAGTGTTCGGTAATCTGAGTGTTGAGTCTCCCCACTGAACCCCCCTCCCCCAATACCCCAAAGAGTCTGTCATAACAAAGAGGTGCAGTTTCCCCATAAACCAAACTGTAAATCAGTTCTACCAAGGCTTCTGAGATCCAGTGAATATGAGGAGAAACAATCAGAAAAAGAGGAAGTGGAGAAAGGCAACTTCATTCACAGGCAGTAGATTTCCTTTGTGGCGCATTCTCTGCACTTATGCATTATTAAACAAGGGGGTGCATCTCCTGAATACATGCCCCACTCCTAGCAACAGTGAACATGCAAGATAAAAATAGAAGAGGGTTTTTAAAAACCAAGAGGATTCATAATAAAAGGAGCTAGGATGCAGCGAGGCACATCTTTGCTGAAAGGATGTTAAGGGTGGATGTAAGAGCCCTGCTTGAAAAAATGATTTTTAATACAAATTTTTGTCATTTGATATCAATACTGACAAACTAAAACATAAAGCATAAAACATAAATCCTAAGAAGAAAATGTATTCTGTATGGTGACTTTTACCATCTCAACAACAGGCGCTCTACTGAATCTCATGTTAAAGTCAAAGACTTCTTAAGTGTTTCTTCCTAGAAACACTCAGTCTTAATACTCAGAATAAATCATCATGCATGTGTTGGCATACATCCCTGCATTCCTGCCGAGAGAACCCGGGTGCCGGGTATTGGGGCACTTCTCTCTTGTGGCAAACACAGATATCGTTTACGAACTGATTCATACCGATGTCAGACTATGAAAAGTCCTACAACTGGAGGCCCCAACAGGATTTGACGAATAACGCTGTCAGTAATGCTGGACTCTGTTTGGCCACACTGAGTTTGCTGTGACGCACACAGGTCATTATAAAAGCCACACACTAATGTAGATGGGGTTTTTCGGCACTTTCAAACTAGTTGAAAATCTGAACTAAATTTCCATAGATTCTGTTTATTTATAAGGATTTGGTTTACAACAAATACAATGGTAAGGCACAGGAAAAATCTAATCCAATTTAGAGGTCTTCAGTTTCCCTGAATCGCGCTGGCCAATAACACTATTGCACAAGCACTGGCAAAGCCTCTACCTCTTTTAAATCTTTTGTATGGAAAACATTTTGGGTACTCGGTAGAAAAGACAAATGTTGAGGTGTATACCAATGCTAATACTTGACCTGTCTTACTGGTACCTTGCTCAAGGTTCCAAGTCTGAAATTCTGAGACTGATCAAACACCACCTGAATAATTCTTAATTGTTGAATATGCACAAAACTTTTCTCTTATTTGTGAAAACACACAAAAATGGAATATTTAAATGCTTTGAGGGATATACAGCTCTTCTCCAAATCTTTCATGTTTCAGGGTTGTTGCTGGACAACATCGCGTTCCAGCTCCCTCCAAAGATCTCCTTTTGAGTTCATGTCTGGAGACTGGCTAGGTCACTGCAGGACCCTTAAATGTTTCTGTCAGAGCAACTCTTTAGATGCCCTGCTGTGTTCTGGATCATTGTCATTCTAGAAGACCCAGTCATCATTAAATCACTTGGCCAATGGATGTTGCTGCCCAAAATCTCATAAAATATCCATCCCGTCCCTTTTCCTGAAAAGCATCCTTAACACATGATGTTTCCACTTCACCTGCACTATAGGATTTTAATTCATGACAGCATAGTGCTACCATGGTAACCTTTGAGACTGTAGTTTGGACCTTAGTCATGATCATTGATGCGCCATGAAGTGAGCTCTTGCATGAAACCCCAATCCAAGGGAGATTGGCTGTTATCTTGAGCTTCTTCCATTCTCTACTAATAGGGCCAACAGCTGTTGTTTTCTCACCAATATCTATGCCAAACCACAGACCTAACCATCCATGCTTTGGTCAGGTCTACAACACAGTCCACAATGTCCCTGGCTCTTTGGTCTTGACCATTGTGGAGAGTTTGCTTCCTTAATCCCCCAATGTTTTTACATGAGGAGGTGAAAAAATAGCACAGCAGACAGTCTGACACTGAAAATAGTATTTAAAGTTTTGGCTTTAGAATGGGCTTTCTTATATGTTGTACAAAATAATATCAAGCTGCATAAACATTTTGCTTGATTAAATTTAATCTTTCTTGGAATTTCATCTTTTTACAAGTCTTTAAGTTTGCACCAAAGTATGGAACTATGAATTCCTTTTAGGGCACTGAAATTTGAGATTTCTTTTGGCAGATGTTCTTTAGTGTTGTCTATTTGCTTTCTTTGGGCTGTGCAGTACATTTGGACAGCTGGAGCTGTTATGATGGAGACACACCAACATTTCAACTTGTCCTGCCCATGACATTTTTACTGTGGGGACAGTTAATCATTGTGGGTCACTACATCATCTACTGATAGTAAAGGAGCATTTATTCCCACTTACTAAGCATGGTTTTAACAAGTTAAAGAGGAGAATGGCTCTTCTTAATATAAGAACGGCAGTCTTGTTTATTTCCATGCATTATGTTAGTGAATTCAATTTGAAAGTGGAAACAAAGGGTGCATTCCAAAGTAGTTCAGCCTAATTCAGTGCTGCTGTAGATTTCCTGAGGCGAAATACACACAATCACACCCCAGCTCATTCCTCTAATGTTGTTGGATACCTGACATGAATTCAGATTTGGTTTCAATAGAGAAGAAAAATAAAATTCCTTCCTGAAAACAGAAGAAACCCAGAGTCTCAGAGGACGGCGCGGACAATGCTTTGATCCCAAAGTCTTTCACAGAATTAAAGACAATGTTTTTTTTGTTGACGATCCATCTGGAAGAGGTTCTGGCCAACTCTTTAAACCATATTTTTGAATCTGATCCACACCTGTGTGAGTGTGTTATCCCTGGCTTGTAAATGTTTGGGGCCTCAGGCCTCAAGTCTTACTCAATTTTTAAAGTCAACAAAAGTATTTCCTTTTCATAAGCAGCTAGAAATGAGTGATAGAACGTTTGAAAACAGCTCGTTTCTATACACACTCTTCTAAAGTGGCATTTGTTCAATATGCAATCTCTTGAGTACAAAATCTGTATTCAAAGCAAGGCATGCATTTTAATTTCTATAGATCTGTTGCTTCGTTTTATGTCAAGCTTCCTAAACAATAAGTCTGCATTCATAATAATACTGTGTTTGCTGTGCTTGGATTCACACAAATTAACATAAGGTACTGTTTTGACACGAGTTGGAAGTGGAGCAGAATCAGACGTAGCTAAAACTGATTTTCTTGTCTTCTTGATCAAATATTGACATAACTTTGTTTAAAATCATTCCACTGGTAAATGATAGAGAGTAGACACAGACATTTCACACGAGCCTTGCTGATAGTTCTGAACAGTGTGTGTACAACTGAATCAGACATCAGCTGATGATTAACAGACTTTTAAGAAGTATTTTGCCTGGAAGCCGAAGGTCTGACATTGATACTCTGGCAGAAGCTGGTGTTGACTGAACAGAAAAGCCTCATGGTTTTTGAGCAGGGAAGACTTAAACTTGCTGCCAGACATATAAAAGTCTTTTGCTTAGTGTCATAAAGATGCCTGACAAACACTCATTACATTTGTTTCTGTTTATGTGCCGATTTCAGTTTACAGACTGTTTATTATAAACAAACCCGATACCCCGATTTTAGGAAGTAGTTTAGTTGCAATGAAGGGAGTATCTTCATCACAAGTAAACAGTTGGGACAAGGTAACTGCAGCAGTGATTGATCATCTTTGACCTTAAACATGTTGTCTGAGTCGATGCTTTGAAATTTCATCTAAGCTTTTATGGTTTATCTGGCTGGGTAGCAAATGCACCATCATAAATGTCCTAACTGATTTTCATCAAAGTGACTAACATGTTTTACTTATTGCGGATCTTCTGTTTTTATTCAACACTGCTGGAACTGGCCATTGACATGGTGCACTGGCGTAATTAGGCATATGGAAAAAAATTGCACTAAACTGATAACTTAAGCTCAGAGTTCAGGACTCTATCTTTTTTTTTTACTTTTACTAAGATTTGCTACATCTTACACAAAGATATCAAAATCAACATTTTAAAACTGAGTTTATAGCTTGTAATGTCAGTTTTATCTATAAGAGTGAAGCCAAATACAAACATTAAGATGCAGATGAATCATCTGAAGTATAAATCCAGCTGCCCGTGGCATTCAACAAGCCCCAAATACTGTGCGAGTCCTTTCTGCAGTAGACATCTGACCACACACTGTTACTGTGTCAAGACAAGTGAGTCCATCTGTCGTTAATTATTCACCAAGCGGCCTTCTATTGTGCTTTCAAGTACAACAGGAATGTCTATGGCAAAACAATTTCAAAGTATGTGTAAATATTGTATTTAAAACTACATTCTTGACCATTTTCAGGATGTTTTATTTTTTTTATTCATTGTGAAAATGAAACAATCTGCAGTTAGTCCTACATTTGCCCCTTTTTGAAAAATCTGTTCACTGTTGGAGAGAAAAAAGTATCAATGAATAAAGCAACACCAAACACTCACTGTCATTACTTCAATGGAGATGTCTGTCACAGATGGAAGAAAAAAAATTGAGCAAAGATCCTGCTCATTATGAAACCGTGACCAAGCTTTTACACGTAACAGGGTTTTTTATGTGATAGACATGCTGATCTTCAGTTCAACTCTAAATTATTTTTAGAGATTTTCTTTTATGTTAAAAGTTAGATTCTTAGTTTTGCACATCTGAGTTCTTCAAAAAAAAAAAAAGAAGAAGAAGGGGTGGAAACACTTCACAGCTTGTTCTATAGAAACACAACAGTGTGTTTCATTGGTGACACAGAGTAACAGTAAATGTTTACCATTAGCAATTGATTTGTTAAGTCTTAAATTCATACCACAATTACCTGCTTTTTAGGTTAATGGTTAAAATGGAAAAAAATGGAATTCAGAAACAGAACGCAAAAGTGGAATTTGGGAAAAAATAAAACAGAATTTCTAAAATAATAAAACAGATATAGGGCCCTAAATTAGTACCTATTTTGACAACCAGTTAAAGTAATTTTCTGCAGTCTATTCTAGGGCTGAACAGTCTTAGGAAACGCTACAACATGATGCTATTGATGAAACTAGGAATGTTGTTACTGGCTATGACTAACTTTCACTCTTCAGATGCTCAGAACAACTACCAATGCAACGTGGATGTTTTATTAGGTGCTTGGACCAAAATTATGCAAATATAAATTAACATATAAAAAATGTCAAGAGAAATTAAGTGATATGATAGAACAGCCAAATTAGCTACAACTGGGTGCACAAGTGGGTTCGTGAATTATTAAAAGAGTGAACTGACCTGGAGATTTTGACCCTGCAGTCGTGAATTGACCATGATATCATCAGTAAACCAAAATATTCCCGATTCAGATTTGAGGCTATCTGATAAAATTTGTCCCAAACTGAATCACCCAGCAGGACAATGATCCAAAACCCAGCAGTAGATCTACCACACAATTTTGAGATTTCTTTTTATTAGACCACTTTAAAATTGTGGACTATTTTGTGTTGGTATATTAAATAAAATCCCCCTAAAAATACAGCAAGTTTTTTTTTTTTTCGTTAACAAGGAACCACACAAATGAATGTTTTTTCAGGGCTCTGTTTTTTTTACAATTTCTGCTCACCTGCCACAACCAACACCCTTCAATCTGTCAGCTTAGGCCATAAAATGTTGGAAATATATCAAACATGGCAAAGGGGGGGTGATCCAAGTGAAACCACATACAGAAGTAGTGACTTCCTCCATGGAAAACAGCAGGGTAGCAAACAGGACATGCCACCCCTGACCCACTTCTAAATCACTTTGGCTTGCCCTGTGAAAGAGCGTGGAATCAGAGAAGTACGGACAAAAAGAAGAGCAAGGGACAACGTGACGGAAGCAGCTGAAATGCTGTTGCTTTTCGCTGAAGAATGTGCTTAACACCAACAAGACTAAAAATACAAACAGCTGAGAGACACTTTCCATCTCGGACAAGCAATGCTGCACAGCTCTGAAAAACCTGGTCATTGTTCAGCTCCTGACTTTTGAACCTTTGAACCTTTCCTTCATTGTCTTTTAGGCTCGTCTTTGAAGTCAGAAGGGAATAGAAAGATGGTTGAGAACAAAGGATTGCAACTTACAAGATACTTTGCCATTCCTCCAGTCACGTTCACTGACTGGTGCCCTCTTATGACAGAGCAAATGCCCTCTATCAACCTCCATTTGGAACAAAGCGATGTTGCTGAGCAGTTTTTGAGGACGAAGAGCGAGGAGGGCATTTCCTCAGGAAGCAGCTGGGTGCCTTCAGGCCCAGAGAGCTGCAGAATTATAGGCATACAAAGGTGAAAGTGGTGCTGACCACAATGCAGAGGATGGAAGAGGTGGCATCGTTTTAAAATACCTCCGAGCTTGGTCATAACACAGTAGCTGAAGGTCGGTGCTGAAGAGGAGAGCCCAATTACCGAGGCTCCTTCGATACGGTTAACCAGGCGTATTGTTGGCAGGGATTTCTCCACGTTCAGCTGTAGGAGATCTACCACATCTTGCTAAAATATTGACACCCTTTTAACTTTATCACATTTCTCAACTTCACAACCACTTCTTTTAATGTACTGTATTTAAATTATTAATTAAAATAATAATTATAATAAGTGCGCGGGGTTGGGGCTATTTTATTGGTAGGCCAACAAATGTAGAACGTAGAAAATAAATGGTACATGGTTTTCAGAATTTCTTACCAATAAAATCTGAACAGAGGAACTGAATTTGCAATAATTTGTAACTAAATCCTTTCCATATCTCCATGACTATGTCTTTAGCAGTGGACAGACAGGAGGAGATCATCCCTGAACACCCGAATAACAGCAATATCCGGTGCAGTCCGCAGGACAAGCGCTGCATCCAGAAGACCATGGCACGACACCCTCTGAAAACCACAAATCTGAGAAGCAACAGCGCCAGAGAGGAGACCAAGCCAGTGCTGGTGAGTGAAATTATCACCTAACAGCAAACAGAAAAAATATAAACCACCTGAGCTACAACACATTCGTAAGCCCCAGCAGGTATTTTACATCAGGATTCAATTGGTCCTGGTTCAAATTCTTAAAAAAAAAAAGAAAAAAAAAGAAAAAAAAAGTAACTCCTATTAAGAACATTTTGCTCACTAATTATTAGAATAACGAAAAAAAAAGTAAAATTATCCCTCCATTCAACTGATGTTAAGAAAGTCAAGCAGAAAGCTCAAAGTTTTCACAAGTTGATGTTCGAAGTATTATTTTAGATGGAGACGCATCCTTTGCTACAAATGATGAAGCGTACACTAAAGGAATGCAATATCATTCAATTTAAAATGATTATTTTATTAAATAGAGGAATTGAATTATTTAATTGCATTTTAATGATTCATTTGCATTCTATTATTGTATAAAATTAGCGCAAGTGGTTAAATGAAAAGTCTGCCAAATGTGGCAATAATTCTTATACAATTAATTGTCAGAATAGTCAATAAAATAACCACTTACTGAAATAATTGTTAGCTACAACTCTACACTCTTGCATCAATGTGCAGTTTGTTATGTTTATCTGGGAAAGGAATGGCCAGACCACTGTAATTGCTCAATAGCAGGCACATGTCTTAATGCCTTTATGTAGATAATATACGACACATCTTGTGGATGGTCAGCAGGTTTAAAGACACCTGACGAGGAATTACGACCCACCTATCTTTACAGAAACCCAGTAGGTTTCTTAGCTGCCAACTGGTTAACTTGAAGCATTCCCTTCTTAACTGGAGACTGCCTAGATCACAGTAAATGACCCTAATGTGATTCTTTTTAAGCCACTCCTTTGGCCTGATGGCAAATAGGCCATTATAATGCAGGGGGCCCCATGCATAGCTCACTTTCAGTGTCCTGCCTGAAGGGAGAACGCTTTGCTTCAAATTTTAACAATGGCCCCTTGCTGTGGTGAAGTCATCCTGTACCTTGGCAAAAAAACAGCCTTACAGCGTAATACTCCTGGGAGATGTTGCTCTTTGGATCATACTCTGCATTTTTTTTTTTTCCACCAAGGACATGTGTCGGGCTGATGCCAAAGGTCTCATCTGACCACATCACTTTCTCCTAAATCACACTGAGACAATGGGAACCTAAAACACACAGTACGGTGCTGACACACTTAAATAAATTATGCAAAGTGACTTACGAATATTCTTGGTAACTGTGGTTCCACTTGTGCTGAGATTGTTAACACACTCTTCCTTTGCAATTGTAGGCTGATCCATCACTTTTGTCTTGATCCCCTTCAATCCAAGATCTTTTACAGAGTCAAACCAAGGGTCGCAAAGTTTTCGTGCTTTTCCAAATTCCATGTACATAAAATGCATGCGTTATCTCTCGCATGCTTTGATACAACTTTGATCTTGACTGTCATGGTGGAGAGATGTGAATGGAAGAAATTATGATTTTGTGGCACGCACACTTTATGCGTGCAACTAGTTGAGATCCGGGGCTTTGGTAATTGTCCCATGACCAATATGCAGATAATTCAGACTGAGCTGTAGGGTATTAAATGCTTATTTCACTCAAAAACAGGGTAACTTTGAAGCCATGTAAAATTTAACTTACATTCTGACTATCTCACAAATGAGAGAGGTTTTTTTCTTGAGAGTGAGCAAACTTACAAATCAGCAGGGAGTTGAATGTTTATTTTTCCACTTGTGCAATAGAGAACAACTCCTAGATTAAATTATGGTTAATTCAACAGAGTTGTTTTCACCTGACTTTGAAAAACAAATTTGAATAAATTTTGCCTCTATCCAAGTAATGGTCATTTTAAGATTGGAAATGTTTTAGGAGAAACAAAGTCTACCGGTTCTAAAATACTTGTTTGCAACCTACATAACGCAAACCAACAACTGGTCTCAAACACCGGCCCCAGAGGGCCAGTTTCCTGGAAATTTTAGACATTTCTCTGCTACAACACACCCAAATCAAATAACTACTCCATTAGCTGGACTCTGTTAATCTTGAATGCATGCTGAGGAGGTAATTTATCCATTTCACTCAAGTTCATTGGATGTTCATTGACGTTTGAAAATCCTACTCTTGACATGAGCTACTAAAAACTTATTTGATGTAGTCTAAGTATTTCATTAATTTACTTATTGTGGCGAACATTATAGCTTTTTGGCATTCTATGTTTTATAGATTAACACTGAAATTTGATATTAGCTGGCTAATTAGCAGAGCTATTTTTGCTCGCTTAGCTGATCCATAAGGATCGCTGGTTAAAACACGCTGCTCTAAACTTTTAGCACGCAAAGTTTCTTCCAGAAGAACTTTGATTACCTTCATTACAATAATTGGTGGCGCTCCTCCGCTTTGCACGCCACGTTCCAAGAAACCACCAGACTCTTATTCTTCCTCTTTTAAGTTTTACTGGCGGTTGGTAAACCAACTGAAGGGACATTTACTGCCACCTACCGGACTGGAGTGTAGTTGGCAAAGACGTCAAAAGTGCAACGGCACAGGTAAGGGAGGGGCAAGTAGGGACAAGTGTTGCCAGATTGGGCGAGTTTCTCCCCAATTGGGCTTCTTTTGAACACGTTGGGCTGGGAAAAGCAGAGGTTTTGGTAGGTTACTAATATTTGGGCTGTTTTTCACAGCATTTGACTGGTTTTTAGAAAGTCCACATTAAATCCAAATAGTTATCACCGAGAGGCAGAAAAGTAAAAAAAAAAACTTCAACATTTTAATGACATGCCATATTCTTACTCTCATTTTATTAGTTAATTTATTTTTGAAATTATATCAGATAATAAAGTGTCACTATGGAATTGTTTTGGCCCATGTCCATTTTAACCTGAGTTTGAGAATTAGGCTTGTTTTTTGTTGTTTGTTTTTTTAGTTTTGATTTGGAAGCTGTCAGTCTTTCAACCCTGCTTCAATCTCCGCTCACTCTGGAACTTTCTTTGATATTTTAATAAAATTACTTTGAACCCTGGAAACTGTGAAATAAATTATGATTTAATGGCTTCAGGTAATTTTTTAAAACAGAGGTATACCTGGAGACATTAGCAGGCTCAAAGTCCAAGTCACCTACTTGCAACCTGACTTGGACTTGCCTCTCAAAGACTTGAGACTGCCTAGATTTGTGACCATCTCTTTCACAATCTACAGCCTACTAGCTCAGCAACAAGAGTCTATGTGCTAAACTGAGCAGCCTGCAGCCTGCAGCCTGCTCTATAACCTCTTAAAACCCTTTGGAGCTTTATGAAACTGAAAATTGGGGGGGAGGGAAGTAGATCCTGATCTGTGAAGGAGATAATTTTCTGACTGAAGAAAGATCCAAACAATCAAAGAGTTTTGTTAAAACAGGAGCTGACATGCAGAGATTTACCTTTTGATATGCAGCTGGGAACAGTTTTTAAATTAGCACAGAAAAGTAAAACCTCAAAAGGCATTCAGCTGCAAATAATTATTTGTATTTTTCATTTTTAGACATCCACTAGGAGTTGCAACACATTACTTGTTTTAAATTGTGACTTTATTCAACGTTGCAACTGTCATAGCACTAATCCTTTGTATAAATAGTTTTTTTTGTGTGTGTGTGTTTGTGTGTCATTATTGAGTGTGTACAAAAAAATACAGCTGCACAACTGATATCAGGGTGTTCCATAAAAGTCTCTGGAAATACTTGTTTCTCCTAAAGGCGCCCTGCCGTGCTGAGCTGCAAAGAGCTCTGGACAGATTGGCATCCAACAGCCGCACCCATGATGACCTCTTCACTATTCCCATCCCCAACTGTGACAAGAATGGAGATTTCCACCCAAAACAGGTCTGTGACTTGAAGAGCAAACTTAGTATGAGCTTTCTGGAATCCTCCTCTGGAATCACTGAGCAGACTGGTCTTTTGGCCATGTCTGCTGGTGAACTGTGAATCCTTAATGTTACGCCAAATTAAATGAAAAAGCAAATCTTTAAACTTCAAATGGCTCTATTCAGATCGCATCAGCACTCTGTGGACCAGAACACAAAACACGACCGCAGACGATGACATACTATCTTACAAGTTCAAGATCAACAAAAGAGTCTCCAAACAGACTGCCGCAGTGAAGCCAAAACCTTGTTTTTCCAAGCTGGCGTGGAAAGTGATTTACGCTCAGGAATTAAGATGTCATGCGTAAGGCAATTTGCCCGAAACCGTTGAACAACCATCACTCTATTATTGTGATCTATGCAATTAGGTTTTGAATGCAGCTGCTGCTTTTCTTTTTCTTTTTTCTTTTCTTTTATTTGTTTCCCTTCTTTTGCAAGACTGAGCAAACATGCAGATAAGAGTGAGAGAATCAGAGAATATATATATATATATATATAAAAAAAAACTGAGATAAGGCCGCTTTAAGTTGCAGACTCAGACTGTGTGATAAAAAGAAAGCTCTGCTGAGGCACCAGCCATCAAATGTCTGAGTTATGCTGATTGTGTAACGTAGTTAAAGTATCTCAGTCTGCTCAGTTTCTCAGGCATCTGTTTACTGTTTAGCTAAAACTGCACTGTGATAATACCCAAAGGGAAGCAAAGCACAGGTCATTAAGGACAACTGGGACCAATTTTAAGCCAGCGTTGCTCTGAGATTTTTAACTGGTGGTGTTGGAGCCTGTGTAAAAACTGAAATCATCCCGTTAAAAAGGTCCAAACACACGCAAAATCTGAACAGCTGAAAGCTCACACGGGGAACGTGGGGATTTGAACCTGATAATCTAATTATGCCATTCACTGTTTGTTTAGTGCCACTTTAATTGCACTTTAATTGTTGTAAATTAGTTTAACATATAATTTCGATCTCTTTAAGAGATTAGATGTTGGAGTAGTTAGTGGATACTACTGCTTTGCCTAAATGTATTTTCCACCATTTTAGAGACTACTGGTCGCGAAAAGTAAAGAGTCAAAAGAGCAAAGAGCTGCTGTTTATTTGCTCATCTAGTGCATACAGAGCAATGTCTGCATTCCTCCACAGCTATGTTCACGTCAAACTCGCTCACACATGTAGGTCACATATTTCAACTATTTTCCATTTGGACTTCCTTTGTATTTTAAAATAATAATAAAAAAAAAAATTATAAAAAAAAAAAACCAAAAAAAACATTCAAACTATCTTTTCTGACAGGGTCACTTTAACATATGACATATCCCAAAAGCTTATTTTGATTTTTAAGGTGATCTTCATCACCGTAAGTTTAAAAAAAAAAAAAAAAAAACAAAAAAAAAAACTTTTTCTTTCACTCATTTTGTGTCCAGTCTTTCTACTTATAATTTTTTTCATAGAAATGTGTTTGTGAAATCACAAGAAAACACAAAAATACACTAGCCAATATTTACTAGTTCATATTGCTGACATGAGTCCTGTTAGTTGCCTGTCTTGAAGGTGGCAAAATTAAATGTAAACTCATTCCCAGAATCCACTTGGGGAAAAAAATAATACTTGTTAAAAAAACATATATGTGGTATCACTACTACATACATCTAGTTCAATCACCTTTACAGGACTGAGGAGCAAAGTCCTCTAGTGTCAGGTATGTGGCATACTATTGGACAGCTGAGGCTTGGCTCCTGTTCGCTCATCAGCATGACACTGACTCCATCTAGACCAGAAAATCAACTACAGAATTGTTTGGGTGTTGGAATGGCCCAGTCAAATCCCAGAGTTGACTGGGCCATTGTTCTGTGGATATATCTTAAACTCTACAGAAACTGCAAGTCTTGATAAACTGAATAAATGTTGTGAACTGATGCATGTTGTTCCAGTTGTTCCACCAAAGTAATGTGAGATACTGATACAGTCAGACAAAGTAGTGCAATCTTTAAAACTGCATTTCTGTGAATAATCCCTTCATCTTTACATCCATCCACAGTGCCATCCCGCACGTGACGGCCATCGGGGAAAGTGCTGGTGTGTGGATCCCAAGACAGGCATGAGGCTGCCAGGACCCCTGGAGCTGCGGGGGGATCTGGACTGCCACCAGTTAATGACTGCGACCCTAAGGGACTGAGGGGGGCAGAAAAGGGACAGTTTGGGTTTGGTGAACCAGCTGAATTTACTGGTGCTTTTAGTAGAACCATATGACTAAAGGACTTTATACTTCAGCCGAGCTCTACCAAAGGCAAACAGTTGTGGAGTTTGTGCAAAGAAAAGGAAACCATTACATTGAATTATTTTACTATTATGTTTCTGTATGTGAGAGTAAGTGATTTGAGTCTTTTGAGCACTTGTCTTGTTTTGTTCCTACCATGTGAAATTAAGACAGATTGTCTTTAAACGTGTGCGCTTTAAAGTATCAGGTGGTAGAAAAACAAAACACGCTTCTTCAGAAAGGGGCTGTACATGTGATTTATGTAAGAGAAGACGCTAACCTTTTCTGTGTAATCCTCTTAAAAAGTGGCAAAAAGCATTTAGTCCACTGTAGTATAGCTGATGAAAAACAGAAACTGATCATGTTTTCTTCTTAGTGTAGCACCAGATTGGTTGGAATTACTGAATCAAGACCATCCAGAAATATTTGCTTATGCAGTAATTATTGTTTTTGCATCTCATATTCTCTATGTAAAAAAAAAAAAAAAGGAAAAAAAAAAAAAAAAAAAAAAAAAAAAACGTAACTGAGTGACAGCATTAAAGTAGCAAAGATTTATGGGATGGGAACAACAGATTCTATGAAATGAGATGAAAGGGCTGCAAAAAACTGCAAAACCCTTGTGAACTAACAAATAAAAAGCCATAGCCTTTCACATCAAATGCACCAAAGTGAAAATTGAAATTAAATGAGAAAGTCTGTATCTCTGCAATCCCAGGACAGATTTTATTTATTATCCGGCAGTGAATTCCCCTGTCATATTTTCTGACGAACATCTTTAGCACAAAAAGCATTGGCAGTGTTGCTCTACTAACAGCCCTGTGAGCTGCTGATAGGATAATCTTCTTTCTCCAGCTGGTGCTAAAAGATGCCAGTATGACCCTTGTGTTTGTATGGATATGCTTTGGCTTACAGGATTTCTCCCCAGCAGACTGCTTGGCAGAACTAAATGGTGCTATATTCTGACTGTGCCAAAATATGAAGCAACGATGGTTTCTACAGTTTTTGTTTGGCCTTTTATAGCATTCAAGAAAAAGTGAGAAGAAAGCATTGGCATATATGAGGGGCAACCTTATGTGTTCATGTTTCTGCTTTAGCTATTGACAAATATTTTATTTTTCTTTAAAATGATGAAAATCCAGTATCCAGCTTTGCACTATAGTTGCCGCTGTTACATTTTAACTAGCTAGTGTTCTGAAAAAGGCAGAACATTTTTGTTAAATAAAACAGCATTGTGTAATGAGCTTTGGATGAGTTCTAGCTAACAAATCAAGTGTTTTAAATCTGGTATTGCTTCAAATGTACCACAAATATCCCAAAGCAAACAAAGAAATGTTCTTTTAGGTTCCCTCTTAAGTATTATGATATTCAACAGAGCATAATGTTACTGAAGGTAACCAGTAGCAGTAGCTAATAGTATGCTAATTGCATAGGCATACCATTGGGCATTCAAAGGAGCGTACTGGATTTAAGCTAACTTTTTAATGTTGTCAGATCTGGACAGTTGGGTTTGAATGTTCATCGGGAGATAGTTAATAGTGACTCAAGAAAAATATTTCTGTTGTTAGGTTCATGTTTTGTGTAGAGGACAAAACGCACCAAAGTTTAAATAAAAAGTGAGACTGTGAAGAATTTATTGACTCTAGCCAAACATGGCCTCCTTGTGTGGATAATAGTAATATCAAAGATCAATTGCTTTTAGCACAAATTTAAAGGGTGAGATCAGATTTTTGATGTTGTTTACCATTTTGCCACTTTAGTATTTCATATTTCACAATTTTGTTTACCTGACAAAGAAGAAAATAGAAGTTTCCTACCAACCATATGCCATGTTATAGCTGCCTTGAGGACATTTTGTACCCACCTTGGACTACAAAAGATTTAAAGTAGTTTAAAGATGCTTGTATGTGACAAAAAATTAAATATACCAGCAGGAGGTCTTCCATAGTTATTCTGGTTAGAGCTGAGATAGGACTTCACAATATCAAGGAAACATGACTTTGCAATATTATCACAGAGTATTGCAGTGACACCATCAACTCCAAGTAACCCACTCGCTACTCTCTTCTCCGTTATCAGAATTTCCCTATTACCATGTCTTTCACAAAGATCAAAAGCAGACAAGTGAACAAGATGGCACATGATTCAGAAACAATGGCATACCTTCTCATTGTATCAAAGTAATTATTTCCAGTAATTAATTATTTGAATATTGCGCACTTATGTGATACCAGACTGATGATTGTGATTCAATGTGTTGTGCATCGTTGTGAGGAGTCATGCTTTTGCAATAGACTGGAAATTTAAAACCCTTTTGAAATGTTAAAGAATACAAATTCATAACAGTGAGTTAATGAAAAAAATCTCCTCTCTTATTTATTGAGAAAACAATTATGACTTTGGAGTCTATGATGTAAATATAGAAGTTTACACATTAAACTCCAAAACTTGGTATGGGCTGGCCCATTCCTCACTAATTTTGGCCCTTTTACCTATTGTATTTTAAAGAAAAATTTACATAATAACAAAAAATATGATAAAAGAATAATAAAATATCCATTACTATAAATTTTCTTTATTTCAAAACAAATTTCAAACTACTATGTTGACTTGTTGAGTAGTAGGGTTATCTATGGCAAATTTTAAATTCTTTTATTTGCTCATCACAACATTAAATATCAGCAAATTAATTCACTTCTCAAGGATCTTGTTAATTAGTAACCTCTCTTAGAAGAATGTATTTTATGTGATTAAAGGTTTAAGTTATATTACTAAAAATTGGAAACATTTCCTAAGTCTATTTCTAACTAGCTGTTCGATGAAGACAGTGTTGGAGAATTAATCTCTTTTCAGAGATTAAGGTAACCTTAGAATTGTTTTTAAGACCAAACAAGATTTCCTACATATTTCAATGAGCCACACAGACAGATGAAAGAATGTTTTACCTGAATCTATCTTAATGCCACTAAAGACTCAACGCTAAACATGTTCAAAAGCATTTCTTTGATTTATGATTACATTTTCATCATTTAAAAAGTCTTATTTTTCATTTTAAATGCCTTTTGAGTGCATAAAATAGTTACTTGATAGTAAGCTGCTTAATCTAAGACTTTGCAGTTTTGAACTGTTTCTGGAGAATAGGCTATTTTTTTGTTTGCATCTGATATTATCTGTTTACGTGTAGATTATTAATGTTTGCATGCATTAAAAACAAGCCAGAAACAGATGAGGTCTGAGAATTGTTGTGCTCACATGTTTGAGTGAACAAAGAATTAAAATATAGAGTTGAAATTATTAATGTTTACCTGAAACTAAAATGTACTCATTGTAATGTATCAATTAAAATACAATAGAAACTATGCTGTAGCTGTGTAATTCTTAGTGATAAAAGTAATATCAACAGTACTGGACAACTGTAACATAAAAAAAAAAAACATTTATGTAGGTATGTTGACCTATACAGGAGGTGATGTTGATTGATATTTTATAAGCTTTCCAACAGCTTGTGTAATCTAGACAGGTGAAAAGAAAATGTACATATTTTTTTTTCTGCACATTGTTTCAATCAATATAAGCTAACCTCTGTAAATAAAGATAATCCAGAACAAGTTTGAGATTCTGATTTGTTGGACTAATACTTTTCTTCTGTTTCCAAATATAATTCAGTCTGGGAGTTGATTTTTGAAATCTTTCAGATAACTTCCTTTTGTCAGGCAGGTTCAACGTAAGTGATTTATTGATTTTACAAGTAAGGGAGTAATGATATCACACCTGAGTCTGACAGAAATGGATCTAAAACCTGCAAGAAATAAGATCTTGGGGACTAGGATTGGAGGAGCGACAGACATCCACAGCTCAGGTGGAATAATCTGTGGACAAGACAATTTTTAGTTGTCCACAAAACAAATCTGGCATTTTTGAGAAAGTGGCAAGAAGTAAAACATCATTATGACTACACCATCTCAACACACTGAAGAGTAGAGAGAAGGGCAAAGTTCATAAGGGCAAAGTTCATTCTATCAGTCATAATAACGAGGGATCATATGCTCAACTCCATCATCTCTCTGCCCAGCTTTCTAACAAAGCGGCCAAACTGATTTAAAGAGGAGAGGCAAAAGCAATGGAGGTGGATTAGTAGCTGATGGTGTCATCATGTAACCGTGGGAATATTATCTATGCTGCCTGGATTTTGAGCTGTTAGCTTCTCATGATAGTCATAAGACAGTCATACAGCAGTAGTCTTC